TCATTCTCAGGTGGGTCTCTCGTAGACAACATATATATGGGTCTTGTTTTCTATGTTTGGTTGGAGCATTTAAGCCATCACCAAATTCTGCTGTGTATAAAGCGCACTTTTTTGCCCAAATTTTTCAGGGAAAAATAAGGATGTGCATTATACATGAGTATAATGATTATATACCATGAGTATAATGGTATAATAATCCTGTGTATAGTCCACACAAAAACATCGGTGTGCATTATACACGGGAGCATATTATACACAGCAAAATAGGGTACATTTAAAGCAGTTAATGTTATGTTCGTGTTTATTGCCGTTTTATTTTTTATAGTAATGTTTCTTTGTTGTTGTTTTTCTTATAGAAGACCCTTTAACATTTCTTGTAATATTGGTTTGGTGGTAATGCACTCCTTTAGCTTTTTCTTGTCTAGGAAGCTCTGTGTTTTTCCCTCAATTTTAAATGATAGTCTTGCTGGGTAAATAGTCTTGGTTGTAGGTCTTTGTTTTTCATCAGTATCTTCTGGCATCAAATGTATCTGTTGAGAAAACAGCCAATAGTCTTATGGGAGCTACCTTGTAGGTAAGTCTTTCTCTTAGTGCTTTTAAGATTCGCTCTTTGTCTTTAACCTTTGCCATTGTAAGTATGATGTGTCTTGGCATATGTTTCTTTGGGTCCATGTTGTTTGGGATTCTCTGTGTTTATTGGACTTCTATGTCTTTTTTCTTCACCACGTTAGGCAAGTTTCAGCCATTATTTATTCAGCTAGGGTTTCAATCCTTTGCTCTCTGTCTTCTTCTGGTACTGCTGTAATGCAGGTGTTGTTATATACTTCATGTTGTCTCAAAGGTCCCTTAAACTATGCTCATTTTGTTTGTATTTCTGTTTCTATTTCTATTTCTTTGCTGCTCCAATTTGTTGTTCGCTGCTTGTTCTCCAAATCACTGGTTTGATGTACCCCTCATCCAGCCTACTGTTTACTCCTTTTAATGTATTCTTCTCTGACTGAGTTTTGTTTTGTTTTGCTTTTTTATGGTTTCTGTGTCCTTTTTCAGGCTGTTGAAGTTCTCACTATTCCTTGAAGTTCTTAACTATATTCTTTGAGCATCCTTATAACCATTTATTTGAACTGTATATTTATCAATTAGCAATTCCCAATTGCTTGCTTTTATTTCATTTAGCTCTTTTTCTAGAGATTTCTCTTCTTTCATTTGGGACATGTTTCATTTTTTCCTTCTTATGGCATCCTTTTCTTGGTGTTTATTTCTATGTACTAGGTAGGTCTTTATGTCTCCCAGTCTTGGTAGGGTGACTTTATGTAGTAGGTGTCTTATGAGACCCAGTAATTACAGTCTGCTTGACCACCTGAGTCGAATGCTCCAAGAATTTGTCTTGTGTGGTTATGCAAGCCCTCCTGTTGTAATTGAGTCTTAATTGCATTTGGTCTGCTCATGCATGAAGTCATCTCTCACAGTGGCTGACCGTGAGGATTGACCTAGTCTACAGTGTAGGAGTTACTGCACAGGTGCTGACTACACAAAGTAGAATTCACCTTAGCAGGGTCCAGTACTTGCCGAGATCTGTTTTTGGATATGCTACTTGCTAAGCTAATTGGATTCTGCTCTGATGTTTTCTGAAGCTGGCCACTGGGTGTGTCTCTTCCCAGGCCTCTTGGGAGGGACTCTGGTTTAGGTCATTCTTAGACACAGCATGTGACTGGCCCTGATCAACCTGTTTCAAGCTATAAAGCTATCCAAAGCTGTGGCTGCCTCTGCTGGGCCTTGGTGTGCATAGGAAGGGCAAGCTGCACCAAGACCAGCCTTCCACCAGTACCAAGCCTGGGGACAGGTCAGCAAACGGCCCAAGGCACTCCATGGTTTGCCTTGTCATTCCTTTGCCTGTTGGCTGCCTTTTTGGCTCAGTCACTGAAAGAGCCTCTGGTGGTATTCAAGTAGCTTGAGGTTGGTTCTCAGTGAGTCACCAGGTAGGGGTGAATGTTGTTCACTAGACTGATACTAGGTCAAACTTAGTGCTAGTAATGATTCTGAGGCCACTCAGCAGAAGTCCCAGGGTATACCAAGTCTATCCACACACCCCAATCCCAGTGCCTGCAGACCTATTTGGTGGGTTCAGGTCTCAGGGAATCATCAGGGTGAGTCCAGCAGAGTTGGCCATGTAAATGGAAGGCTCTGTACCAGTGTGACGGGCAAGGGAAAAATGTTCCCTGTGCTAGAGCCACACAACTCAGTCTGTCCCAGATTCTTCCAGAAGCCAGAGCTTAGCAAAACAGGGCTACCAGGATTCAGGAGGGTGGGACTAAAGGATCTCCCATGAAGGAGGCACTGGTCAGTCTTGGGGGGGAATGAGTGGGGAGTGACCCTGCTCCAGAGCCAGACAACTAAGTCTATCTCGAATTTTGCCCAGACTTCCTGAGGAGCAGGCATTTTTCAGGACAGGGCCACTGGGATACCAGAGGGTAGGTCTAGCAAATCTCCTGTGAGGGGAAAGCTTCGGTGTCATTCACAGAAATGTTGGAGGAATGGCCTCTGTCCCAAAGCCACACAACTCAGTCACTGACATCCCCTGACTCTGCCCAGACATTTAGGTTCTGGCCCAGACAACTGACTCAGCAAAGGGAGAGGCAGGGTGGAGGGACAGGGAGTCTAGAGGGTAGGGCTTTTGCATCCCCCTAAGTTGATGCCCTATGGAGGAGAGTGTTCCACCTAAGAAAATGTCTGTGATGTGGGAGAGGAACTCAGCACAGGGATTTTGGCTCCTGTGCCGTCAGCTCTCTTCCCAGAGCCACAACCCCCCAGTGTCTTCTCGTGCAACTCTGGTCTGTTCAGCCCTCCCTCTGCCAAAGCCTAGGGTGAGTAAATGCAAAAGAGATTTTGTGCTTTGGCTTTTTAGTAGGGTTTCTGTGTCTCCAGCAGACTGCTTTCTCTCCATGGTGAATTTTCACAGCCAGATATTATGTGGGTGCTTCTTCCTGGCTGTGGTGCTCTGGGCTGGTGAGCTTGGTCTGGGATCTCAATTCCACACTCCTCAAGTGTGACCCTTTGCAGCTAAGTTATCCCTCTGGAATCTCAGCTGGTTCACCTGGGGTGGGGCCAGCGCTGTTTGCACCTCTGCCCTTCCTACCAATTTCAGTGTGGCTTCTTCTGTAAATCTTTGGTTATAAGACTTCTCTTCAACTAGTCTTCAGTTGGTTATTCAGGTTGATTGTTCTACATTTTAGTTTGATACTGGGAGGAGGTGAATATATTTTCCACCTACTCTTGCCATCATCTTGGACGTCCTTTCCCCTTTTCTGATTTTAATTGAGTCCTGTCTTTTCTTTTTTTTTGGGGGGGGTGAGCCTAGCCAAAGGTTTGTCTATTTTATTTGTCTTTTGAAAGAATCACACCTTAGTTTTGTTGACCTTTTAAGTCTTTTTTAAGCATTTATTTCTGCTCTTTGTTATTTCCTTCCTTCTGGTACCTTTGGGCTTTGTATATTGTTCTGTTTTTTTTTTTAGTCTATTTTCAGCTACCTTTTTGAAGCTTACCAATGGGTTTAGAATGGCAGTCTATTGTGAAAAGAGTTCAGAATTATCCGTTAGAATTAGAAAACTAAAGTGCCAGTTTTTGTTATTTACTCACTGTACAACTCTGTGGACCAAAAGTACTAGGCACTAGCTAGGAGCTTATTAGAAATTCATAATTTGAGATCCCACTCCAGACCTGCTGAATCAGAATCTAACAAGATCTTTACATGGAGTAGCACTGTTACATTGTTACCTTTGAAACTCAATTTTTCTATCTGCAAAGTATAGATTAATATTTACTGTATATACCATATATTTTACCAATTTACTTTTTGTCTGTTTCTTCGTATAAGAATAAAAGCTTTGTGAGACAGAATTAGATTGTAAGCTTTGTGTATATTTCTCTCTCCTACTTTCTACATCTGTAACAGTGACTGACCCATAGTAAACATTCGTGGTTTTTTTAAATGAACAAATGAATGAATGCATTATTTCTAAAATCTTGTCATTGCTATTGCAGTCATTTACTTTCCACTGCCATTTAGAACTATTTTTTATTTAGAGATACTGTGTTTGACAATACAAACATAGAATATTTCTGTTGTTACAGAAAGTTCAGTTAGTACTACTTACAGTTTTGCGTCCCCTTCCCACCCAGAACTTCTATTTCTGCAATATAATTCTGTCTGTATATGCCATAATGAGTTAAGTTCAACAGGATTTACAATTTCTTTTAGAGGATTTACAGTTTCAGATAGTTAAAAATGTATATCTTATTATGGGTGCACTTACTAGCATAGCATCCATCTGGGCCATATTGCATTGCCCTTGTATTACTTGAAAGAAAGGCAACCCATGAAAGTAAGCTGATGATCCTTTGCTATTCCATGGAATTAAATATTTTGTCTTGGTTGAGGAGTGTCATTCTTATGCCAGCATATGTGACACAGTAACAGGGTACCTTGTCGGCTTATAAGCAGTGTGAAATCAAATCCCAAAGTAGACAGCATTTTCATAACCATGTTGAAAATTCTTTAAAAATCACCTAAGGATTTGCATAATATTTTATGAAATGACTATACTGCTATTTTTAAATTTTAATTTTTTATTTACTGATTTTAGAGAGAGAGGAAGAGTCTTGTATGTGCCCTGATGGGGATTGAACCACAACCTTGTCATACCTGGACAATGCAGTAACCCAATTAGCTACCTGACCAGGGCCTATACTGCTGTTTTTAATCTTTTGTTCTGTAGTTAAATATTTAAATTATTCATATATTAGATTGCTGCTTTAAGAGACTTTGTAAGAAATATCTTTGAGTGTAAATATTTGTGTCCTTTGATGACTATTTCTGTAGGATTCCTTTCTAGAGTGTAAAGTCCCAAGGAGGGAATGCTTCCTTTCTTTTAGTGAATAAAAGAAATATTTTTAATTCAAAAAACATATACTATCATCAGTATTAAGTAATTTCATTTTTTTAGGAGATATTTCTGAAGGAAGCATAACTGAAATTACTCTATCCAACTTGAAGGCAGGCATCACTACCACTTCTGGAGATTCAGATATTGGATCTTATTTACCCTTGACCCCTGAGGACTTTCCTCAGTTTGTTGTAAGATCTTCTGTGGAGAATACTCTTCATCTACATACTGACAATCTTAACAAACAGATATTGGCAGATGGCCATGTAACAGAAGAGGCACTAAAAGTTTTAGCTGTTCCTGAATTATCTGACCAGAAGGCTGGGATATCAACACTACCCTCTAGTTCCTATTCATTAAGAGAGAAGCCCAGTATTTTCTACCCACAGCCCTTGAGAGACAATCAAACTGAAGGAACTCTAACAGTTTCAGGTGTTCCTGGACCTACTGACCAGAAGACCAGCCCATCTACAATACCTCCAAGTTCCTACTTAGTTGGAGAGAAGCACAGTATCTTCTCCCAACAGGCATTGCCAGATAGTGATCAAACTGAAGAGGCTCCAAAAGTCTCAGCTGTTCTTGGTCCTGCTGACCAGAAGAGTGAGAAAACAGCACTGCCTTCTAGCTCCTTTTCACACAGAGAGAAACACATTGTTTTCTCTCAGCAACAACTCCCAGACAGTCATCTAACTGAACAGGCTCAGAAAGTTTCAGCCACTGCTGGACCAGCTGATCAAGTGACTATGATACCAACAGTATCATCTACTTTATACTCACATACAGAGAAGCCCCATATTTTCTTTCGAGAGACATTGCCAGAGAGTCATCTACCTGAACAGTCTCAACAAGATGTAGCTGTTTCTATATTTGCTGACCAGAAGACTGGGATACCAACAGGAACCCCTACTTCTTTCTCACATGGAGAGATACCCCTTATTTTCCAGCAACAGACATTGCCAGGAAGTCATCTACCTGAACAGGCTCAGAAAGTTTCAGCTGCTCCTGGATCCACTGAGCAGAAAACAGGAATACCAACAGTATCCTCTACTTCTTTCTCACATGGACAGAAGGCCACTATTTTCTACCAGCAAGAGCTGAGAGACAGTCATCTACCTGAACAGTCTCAGCAAGCTGCAGCTGTTTCCAGATTTGCTAACCAGAAGGCTGAGATACCAACAGGAACCTCTACTACTTTCTCACATGGAGAGACACCCCTTATTTTCCAGCAACAGACATTGCCAGGAAGTCATCTACCTGAACAGGCTCAGAAAATTTCAGCTGCTCCTGGATCCACTGAGCAGAAAACAGGAGTACCAACAGTGTCCTCTACTTATTCATATAGAGAGAACCCCAATCTTTTCTACCAACAAAAGTTGCTGGAGAGTCATGTACGTGAACAGTCTCAGCAAGCTGCAACTGTTTCTGGGTTTGCTGACCAGAAGACTGGGATACCAACAGGAACCTCTACTTCTTACTCACATGGAGAGACACCCCTTACTTTCCAGCAACAGACATTGCCAGGAAGTCATCTACCTGAACAGGCTCAGAAAGTTTCAGCTGCTCCTGGATCCACTGAGCAGAAAACAGGAATACCAACAGTGTCCTCTACTTATTCACATAGAGAGAACCCCAGTCTTTTCTACCAGCAAAAGTTGCCCAAGAGTCATCTACCTGAACAGTCTCAACAAGATGCAGCTGTTTCTGTATTCACTGACCAGAAGACTGGGATACCAACAGGAACCTCTACTTCTTTCTCACATGGAGAGACACCCCTTATTTTCCAGCAACAGACATTGCCAGGAAGTCATCTACCTGAACAGGCTCAGAAAGTTTCAGCTGCTCCTGGATCCACTGAGCAGAAAACAGGAATACCAACAGTGTCCTCTACTTATTCACATAGAGAGAACCCCAGTCTTTTCTACCAAGAAAAGTTGCCCAAAAGTCATGTACGTGAACAGTCTCAGCAAGCTGCAATTATTTCTGGGTTTGCTGACCAGAAGACTGGGATACCAACAGGAACTTCTACTTCTTACTCACATGGAGAGAAGGCCACTATTTTCTACCAGCAAGAGCTGAGAGACAGTCATCCACCTGAACAGTCTCAGCAAGCTGCAGCTGTTTCTGTATTCACTGACCAGAAGACTGAGATACCAACAGGAACCTCTACTTCTTTCTCACATGGAGAGACACCCCTTATTTTCCAGCAACAGACATTGCCAGGAAGTCATCTACCTGAACAGGCTCAGAAAGTTTCAGCTGCTCCTGGATCCACTGAACAGAAAACAGGAGTACCAACAGTGTCCTCTACTTATTCACATAGAGAGAACCCCAGTCTTTTCTACCAGCAAAAGTTGCCCAAGAGTCATCTACCTGAACAGTCTCAGCAAGCTGCAGCTGTTTCCAGATTTTCTGACCAGAAGACTGGGATACCAACAGGAACCTCTACTTCTTACTCACATGGAGAGACACCCCTTACTTTCCAGCAACAGACATTGCCAGGAAGTCATCTACCTGAACAGGCTCAGAAAGTTTCAGCTGCTCCTGGATCCACTGAGCAGAAAACAGGAATACCAACAGTATCCTCTACTTATTCACATAGAGAGAACCCCAGTCTTTTCTACCAGCAAAAGTTGCCCGAGAGTCATCTACCTGAACAGTCTCAACAAGATGCAGCTGTTTCTGTATTCACTGACCAGAAGACTGGGATACCAGCAGGAACTTCTACTTCTTACTCACATGGAGAGAAGGCCACTATTTTCTACCAGCAAGAGCTGAGAGACAGTCGTCTACCTGAACAGTCTCAGCACGCTGCAGCTGTTTCGGTATTCAGTGACCAAAAGACTGAGATACCAACAGGAACTTCTACTTCTTTCTCACATGGAGAGATACCCCATATTTTCTATCAACAGATATTGCCGGGAAATCATCTCACTGAACAAGCTCTGAAAGTTTCAGCTCCTTCTGGACTTAATGACCAAAGGAGTGGAATATCAACAGTATCCTCTACTTCTTACTCACATACAGAGAAGCCCCATATTATCTACCAACAGGAGTTGCCAATTAGTCATTTAACTAAGGAGGCTCAGAAAGTTCCAGCTGTCCCTGGACCAGCTCAACAGAAGACTGGGATAGCAGTAATACCCCATACTTCCTACTTACATAGAGGGAAGACCGTTTTTTTCTCCCAGCAAGAGTTTCCAGATAGTCATCTAAGCAAAGAGGCTCTAAAAGTCTCATCTGTTCGGGGACCAGCTGAGCAGAACACTGGAATACCATCAGGAGCCTCTGGGTCCTACTCATTTGAAGAGAAACCCAGTGTTTTTTATAAGCAGACATTACCAGATAGTCATCTGACTGAAGAGTCTCTGAAAGTTTCATCTCTTCTTGGTGACCAGAAGACTAGTATACTAACAGTACCCTCTAGTTCCAACTCACATAGAGAGAAGCCCGGTATTTCCTACCAACAGGAGTTGCCAGACAGTCATTTAACTGAACAGGCTCAGAAAGTTTCAGCTGTTCCTGGACCAGCTGAACAGAAGACTGGGACACCAACAATAACCTCTGCTTCTTACTTTCATAGAGAGAAGCCCTTTATTTTCAACACACAGGGCTTGCCAGACAGTCATCTACCTGAAGAGGCTCTGAAAGTTACAGCTGTTCCTGAACTAGCTGACCAGAAGGCTGGGTTGCCATCAGAACCTTCTGGTTCCTACTCACATAGAGAGAAGCCCATTATTTTTTATCCACAGGGTTTACCAGACAGTCATCTCACTGAAGAGGCTCTGAAAGTTCCCACCATTTCTGGACCAGCTGACCAGAAGACTGGGATACCAACAGTACCCTCTACTTCGTATCCACGTGGAGAGAAGCATGTTTTTATCTCGCCACAGGCCTTGCCAGACAGTCATCTACGTGAAGAGGCTCTAAAAGTTTCAGCTGTTTCTAGACCAGCTGACCAGAAGATTGGGTTGCCATCAGAACCTTCTGGTTCCTACTCACATGGAGAAAAGCCCATTATTTCCTACCCACAGGGTTTGACAGAGAGTCATTTACCTGAAGAGGCTCTGAAAGTTATAGCTGTTCCTGAACCAGGTCACCAGAAGATTGGGATACCATCAGAACCTTCTGGTTCCTACTCACATAGGGAAAAGCCCATTATTTTCTACCCACAGGGCTTGACAGAGAGTCATTTACCTGAAGAAGCTCTGGAAGTTTCTGGTGTCCCTGGAACAGGTGATCAGAAGACTGGGATACCAACAGTACCTACAAGTGCCTACTCAGTTGGAGGGAAGTCCATTAATTTTTACCAACAGGCCTTACCAGATAGACGTATCACAGAAGAGGCTCTGAATGTTTCAGCTTCTCCTGAACCAGCTGAACAGAAGACTGGGTTACCTACAGTATCTTCTCCTTCCTACTCTCAAAGAGAGAAGTCCTTTATTTTCTACCCACAGGCCTTGCCAGATAGTCAGCTAACTGAAGAGGCTTTGAAAATTTCTGCTGTTCCTCTACCAGGTGACCAGAATACCAGAAAACGAACAGCAATTTCTAATTCTTACTCACATAGAGATGGGCCTATTATTTCTTACCAACAGGAGTTGCCAGGTAGTCATCTAACTGAAGAGGCTCTGAAAGGTTCAGGTGTTCCTGGAACAGCTGACCAGAAGACTGGGATACCTGCAGTACCATCTAATTCCTATTCATATAGAGAGAAGCCCATCATTTCTTATAAGCAAGATCTTACTCAAGAGGTTTTAAAAGTTTTAGGGGGTTCCAGACCAGCTGGCCAGAAAACTGGGATACCAGTAGTAACCTCTACTTCTTACTCTCATGAAGAGAAGCCCATCATTTCTTATCAGCAAGAGTTGCCAGATCATAATGAAGATGCTTTAAAAATTTTAGTAGTTCCTGGACCAGCTGACCAGAAGACTGATATACGAATTGTTCCCTCTTCTTCCTATTCACATAGAGAGGTCCCCATCTCTTCTTACCAGAAGGAGTTTCCAGATATTACTGAAGAAACTTTGGAAGTTTCAACTGTTGCTGGACCAACTGAACAGAAGACTGGAATACGAATAATCCCCTCAGGTTCCTACTCATACAGAGAAAAGGGTGGTACTTTTTACCAACATGAGTTGCCAGATACTACTGAAGAAGCTTTAAAAGTTTTTGTTCTTCCTGTGCCAGCTGGCCAAAAGAGTGAGATATCAGCAGGACCTTCTAGTTCTCACTCCCTTGAAGAGAAACCCAAGATTTCAACTGTAGTTTTACCAGATGACCAGAAGACTGAGTTATCAACAGCTTCCTCTACTTCCTACTCACATAGAGAAAAGCCCAAGAATTTAACTGTGATTGGATCAGACAACCAGAAGACTCCGTTACTGACAGTTTTTCGTAATTCTTATTCTCAGAGAGTGAAGCCTAGTATTTTCTTTAAACAGCATTTGCCAGGTGGGCATCATAGTGAAGATATCGTGAAGGCTTCATCTGTCCCTGAACCAACTGACGTGAATTCTGAGATACCTATTTCTAGTTCCTATTCAAACAGAGAGAAATCTAATATTTTATCTGCACAGGAATTGCCAGAGAAACATCTAACTGAAGATGTACTGAAGGTATCCACAGTTCTAGAACCAGATAACCAGAAAACTGTGTTACCAACAGCTCCTCCTCATTTTTTTCCACACAGAGAAAAACCAAATATATTCTATCAACAGGATTTGCCAGATAGACATCTAACTGAAGATTCTCCAAAGTTCTCAAGTGGTCTTGGGCAAGCTGATGAGAATACTGGGTTATCAACAGGTCACTCTGGTACTTATTCACATAGTGAGAAGCACAAACTTGTTTCAGACCATGTCCAAAGGCTAATAGATAATTTGGATTCTTCTAACTCTAGTATTATCTCAAACAATATGCCTTTAAATTCTCAAGGTGATTATAGAGTTGTAGTAAATAAGACAGAACCTTCAGGTTTTGAAGATGTTGGCTCTGAGGAAATCCAATATACAGATAATAGTTCTAAAACTCTTAAACAGATTCAGACACTTTTAATGGAGGCAGAAAATATAGCACTGAAACGATGTAATTTTCCTGCTCCCCTTGTACCTTTCAGAGATGTTAGTGATATTTCATTTATTCAATCTAAGAAGGTTGTTTGCTTCAAAGAACCCTGTACACCTGATGAATCCAATGGTGATTTGCCTCAGAGAAAGCCATTCACAGAGGAGAACCCAAGCAGCAAGTACATACAGAAGGATATTAACACAGAGGCGAATCTGAAATGCCAGAGAGGCATTGAAAATTGGGAGTTTATTAGTTCAACTACAGTTAGAAGTCCTATACAGGAAGCAGAAAGCAAAGCCAGAGTGGCATTAGATGAAACCCTTAGGCAATATAAAGCAGCCAGATCTGTAATGAGATCTGAACCTGAAGGGTGTAGTGGAACCTTTGGAAATAAAATTCTTTTCCCTATGATGACTATCATAAAAAGTGATTCAAGTAGTGATGCAAGTTCCTGCTCATGGGACAGTAATTCCTTAGAGTCAGTTTCTGACGTTCTACTAAACTTATTTCCATATGCTTCACAGAAGACAAGCATGACAGATAGCAGAGAGGAAGAGTGTGTGTCCGAGAGTGATGATGGGGGTGGTAGTAGTGTAGATTCACTGGCTGCACATGTGAAAAACCTTCTGAAATGTGAATCCTCATTGAACCATGCTAAACAAATACTCAGAAATGCAGAGGAAGAGGAATGCCGGGTACGCGCACGAGGTAGGAACTGATAATTTGTTATAACGGCAGGTGAAGTTTATAAACATTGTAGTTTAATAATTTATTTAAAGTTAAGTGTTTGGCATTCTGAATTTATTTTCTTATAGAACTGTTAGGATGATTACATCTTCTACAGTAATCCAGAATAAGCCCATTTAATCAATAATGTAGCTAAATCACAATATTAATTATATTATTAATGCTAGTCTGAATTTGGGGTCTTAGGAAAAGGAAGTTCTGATGTCTGAAGGAGGGTAGGGAGTTTGAGTGTTCCTAAAGTTCTCATGTTTTTCTGATCCATTATAGTACCCTTATTTTGGAGATGAAAAAAAAATCAGTTTGTTCTGCGCTAAATTACTTTGTATCATAAAACTACATATACTTTCTCATCCCCTTTGCTAATAAAATTCTTGGAGCAGATCTTAGGTAGACATTGGAAAAAACTAACCGGGGTATTTTATACTAGTACTTGGATTACAGTTTTAAAAAAGAATATTGATCCTTTTAATCTCTAATAGTGGAATTCTTTTAAAAATATTTAGGGCAATGTGGGGAATATATAATAGAGTACAACTTATAAGCAATAGATGCCTATCTGGGAATCTTTTCCTTGAGGTTATCTTCCTAAACTATTCCTTTAATCACTTATGCATATTTTGATTCTCAAAAAAACTCCCAAGTTTTATTTATTTTAAAATATTAGCTCTTATGGAAGTGGCAGTAACTATAGCAGGAGCTAATAGGGACGGCAAAGGGACTGTCCTGATTAGAAGGATGATTATGATAAAAATGATTGAATACCATATTTAAAGGAGCCTCTTTGGAGAAAAGTCTGTAGAATGTGATTTTAAAAAGTCAGACTTTTCAATGAAATATTCTCTCAACAACTTAACAGTTTGTCATATAATTTAGAGCACTCACTTTTGATAAGTACATGTTAGGCATTAAAGTAGGTATGATGATGTGTGCTCTTAAAATGACTGATAAATGATCACTTTTTGCATTGTATTATCTCAAGTGTCTTATGCTTTCTCTACAGCCTGGAATCTGAAGTTTAATATGGCTCATGAGTGTGGCTACTCCATTTCCGAATTAAATGAAGATGACAGGAGAAAAGTAGAAGAGATCAAAGCAAAATTGTTTGGCCAAGATGACTTATCCAAGGTATAAAAAAAAATGTAGAAGTGAAAAGAGAAAATGTAAAAGAAAGGGTAGTAGAATTTAGATCTCTTACCTCGGCTTTCATGACTAGCTGAGTCACTGATAGTGTTTGGCTTAAAGTATTAAGAGTCTTAATTCTTCAAAAATTAAGATTAAGATTAGATTCTGTAAGTTTTTGATTAATTTCAAATTCATCTATTGAAAACAAACAAGCAAAATATAACCAGAGACACTGAAATAAAAAACAAATCAACAGTAACCAGAGGACGGGGGGAAAGGGATAATGGGGGAAAGTAGGGGAAGGTCCATCAAGGAACATGTATAAAAGGACACATGGACAAAGCCAAAGCGGGTAGGTTCAAGGGTGGGAGGTGTGATTGGGTGGGGCAGGGGGGCAGTGCTGGGGTGAAAATGGAGACAACTACTTGAACAACAATTAAAACAAAAAAGAAAAAAATTACCTCCTTTGGAAAATAAGAATAGGTTTGTTTTATCAATATATTGTTGTCCATCTTATTTTCTCTTGAAGGTGATATCTTGAGATGCAGATAAAGTCCACTTATTTTCAAATATATATTTTCTGCTTAGGAACAGAGAACTATAATAGCCTATGTATAAATCACTTTTATTTTTTTAAGATTTTATTTATTTACTTTTTAGAGAGAGGGAAAGGGAGGGAGAGAGACATTAGTTGGTTGCCTCTTTCATGTACCCCAACAAGGGACTGGGTCTGCAGCCCAGGCATGTGCACTGACCCAGAATTGAACAGGTGACCTTTCCCTTTTGAGTAATGATGCCCAGCCAACTGGGCCTCACCTGTTAGGGCTCACTTCCTTTTTAAGAGTATTTATTTTCCTTCCACTTCGAACTGTGTCATGCATAGGAAAAAACATGAAATATATATATATATAAACTAAAGTTAATCCCTGTATATCAGCCACACATCTTGAGAAATAGAATATTATCAAATGACACTGAAGTCCTGTGTGCCCCCTTCCCTAGTCATAACTCTTTTTACTCCTTATTTTGACATGTATTGATTTTATTTTTTTATTTTTTAAGATTGTATTTATCTATTTTAGAGAGGGGAAGGAAGGGAGAAAGAGAGGGAGAGAAACACCAATGTGTGGTTGCCTCCCACGCAACCCCCACTGGGGACCTGGCCTGCAACCCAAGCATGTGCCCTGACTGGAAATCCAACCTGCAACCCTGTGGTTCACAGGCCAGTACTCAGTGCACTGAGCCACACCAGCCAGGGGACATGTATTGATTTTTTTGCTGTTCAGTATGGTTTTGAACTCTTTAATAGATGGAATTAATGTAGTGTATATTCTGAGATGTCTGTTTTTCATCTAGTCTTAGGTTTTTGAGATTCTTCTATGTAGATGTGTATAGTTTTAGTTTATTTTTTATTTCTGTAAATACTCAGTGTATGGATATATCATAGTTTATTCAATCTCTTGATAGGGCATTTGGTCCACTATTATAAATAGTGATAGAGTATAATGATACCTGTCTTATAGTGTTTTGGTATGGCTTACATGAGATAATATGTAAGCCATATCTATCTATGGCTTACATGAGATAATGCTTAATATCTAAGCATTAAGAAATGCTTAATAGAATGTGTGATATCTGACTAGTGCTCAGCAATTGGCAGCTGTTGTCATTATTATTACTCCTGTAAAAATTGATATAGCTACCAAATGCATAGACTTTAATTCATACAGTTTCTTATAATATAGTTCATCAGAGATATGGCATAATTATTTGGTTTAGCAATTTTGGAAAGATTAGATTGAATTTTAGGTTCACACATATGCTTATGAAAAACACAATTAATAAATATGGGTAATTTGTTGTCATCGTTTGAAAGTACATACTTCTCCCAGTGATCTCCATTTCCTTGTTTCATTAATGATCATAATGCTGATGTTTTCAGACCTTGCAGCAATCAAATTACCTTTCTTTGAGTAGACTCTAGTTAGTTAGTTAGTTAGTTTGTTTGTTTTAAATTGTTCAGTTACAGTTGTCCCACGTTTTTCTTCATTGTTCTCCCCGACCCTGTCCCCCCCAACTCCCACAGTCAATACCCTCCCATTGTCCATGCCCTTGTCTCCTCTATTCATGTTCCTTGACTTGCCCCTTTCCGTTCTTTTCCCTGTCATCCACCCACCCTGGTCATTGTCAGTTCTTTACTTTCATGTCTCTGGTTCTGTTTTGCTCATTTGCTTGTTTTGTTCATTAGGTTCCACTTCTAGGTGAGATCATATGGTATTTGTCTTTCACTGCCTGGCTTATTACACTTAGCATAATGCTCAACTCTAGTTTTTAAAAGCTATTCTTCTTAAAATACATTGTTTTAAATAACATCAAGCACAAAATTTCATATGTTCTGACCAGCATAAAGTATATGTAGTAATTCTCTTTTAGCTAATGTATTTTTTGATTACTTCTGGTCATATCATACTGTGGTGTTTTTTAAAAAGCATGAACTGACCAAATTCTACTCTCATATCCTGTGCATATAATTCTTTTCTTTTTTCTTTTTTTAATACATTTTATTGTTTATGCTATTACAGTTGCCCCATTTTCCCCCCTTGACTGCCCTCCACTCTGCACACCCCCTCCCACCCACATTCTCCCACTTTAATTCATGTCCATATGTGATACTTAACAAGTTATTTAGCTTCTACATTTCTCATACTGTTCTTACCCTCCCCCTGTCTATTTTGTACCTACCATCTATGCTACTTATTCTCTGTACCTTTTCCCCCTCTCTCCTCCTCCCACTCCCCTGTTGCTAACTCTCCATGTGATCTCCATTTCTGTGGTTCTGTTCCTGTTCTAGTTGTTTGCTTAGTTTGCTTTTGTTTTTGTTTTAGGCGTGGTTGTTAATAGTTGTGAGTTTGCTGTCATTTTACTGTACATGTTATCTTTTTCTTAGATAAATCCCTTTTATATTTCATATAATAAGGGCTTGGTGATGATGAATTCCTTCAACTTGGCCTTATCTGAGAAGCACTTTATCTGTCCTTCCATTCTAAATGAAAGCTTTGCTGGATAGAGCAATCTTGGATGTAGGTCCTTGCCTTTCATGACTTGGAATCCTTCTTTCCAGCCCCTTCTTGCCTGCAAGGTCTCTTTTGAGAAATCAGCTGACAGTCTGATGGGAACTCCTTTGTAGGTTACTGTCTCCTTATCTCTTGCTGCTTCTAGAATTTTCTCCTTCATTTTTACCTAGGCTAATGTAATTACAATGTGCCTTGGTGTGTTCCTCCTTGGGTCCAACTTATTTGGGACTCTCTGAGCTTCCTGGACTTCCTAGAAGTCTATTTCCTTTGCCAGATTGGGGAAGTTCTCCTTTATTCTTTGTTAAAATAACTTTTCACTGGTTGCTCTTCCTCTTCTCCTTTTGGTACCCCTATAATTTAGATGTTGGAACCTTTAAAGATGTCCCAGAGGTTCCTAAGCCTCTCCTCATTTTTTTGAATTCTTGTTTCTTCATTCTTTTCTGATTGGATGTTTCTTTCTTCCTTCTGATCCACTCCATTGATTTGAGTCCCAGTTTCCTTCCCATCACTACTGATTCCCTGTACATTTTCCTTTATTGCACTTAGCATAACCTTCGTTTTTTCATCTAATTTGCGACCAAATTCAACCAATTCTGTGAGCATCCTGATTACCAGTGTTTTGAACTCTGCATCTGATAGGTTGGCTCTCTGTTCATTGCTTACTTATATTTTTTCTCGAGCTTTGATCTATTCTTTCATTTGGGCTTTCCTTTTTTTTTTTTGGTCTTGACACATGCCTGTCACATAGTGAGGGGTAGAGACTTAGGCGTCCACCAGGGTGGGGCAACCCACATGGCTGGGTTGTGATGCTGGATGTGGGGGAGGGGCTTGCTCCACTCTCTGCTGGATTTTGGTCACTTTCCCCCCTATGCACAAGCAAACTGGGCCCTTCTGGTGCTGATTCCCATGTGGGTCGGTTTGTGTATCTTCTAGGAGCCTGTGGGTCTCTCCAACGAACTCTCCTGTGAGGCTGGGAGTTTCTTCTGGCACCTCAACCCCCACAGGTGTTTCACTCGGTGTTTTGAGGTTTTATTTCCTGGTGCTGGGACCCTGGGTTGCACAGTCTGTCTCACTCCGCAGTTTCACCTGGTTTATCTGCATGTGTATGTGGGTCCACCTGGTCTGCCAACCACCGCCTTGCCGGGAGCACTCCCGGCCTGATCACCCAGCTGCACCCCTCCTACCAGTCTGGATGAATGTGTCTACTTTAACACCATGGTTGTCAGACTTCTATACAGTTCAATTTTCTGTCAGTACTGGTGGTTATTTTATTTCTAAATTTTTGTTGTGCAAGGAGGCACTTTGTGACTACCTATGCCTCCATCTTGGCCAGAAGTCCAGGTAACTATTTTTAATAGCACTAAAAAACCTAAAGAATATCAAGGGGTAAGTCTAACAAAAGATATATGATTGTTATTGAAGAATATTAAAATTTCTACTAAAAGAGAAAAAAACCTAATTAATTAGAAAGACATCATATTTATTAATAGCAGGACTTTAAAAAAATTTCAATTACAGATGACATTCAATATTTATGTTAGTTTCAGATGTACAGCATAGTGGTTAGACAGTTACATAATTTACAAAGCGACCTTTCGATAATTCAAGTACCCACTGGGCACCATACATAGTTATTACAATATTATGGACTATATTCCTTATTCTGGCCTTTACTTCCCTGTGGCTGTTTTGTAATTACCAACTTGTACATCTTAATCTTTTCACTTTTTCACCCAGTTCTCCAACTCCTCTCCCTTCTGGAAAACACTAATTGTTCTCTGTATCCAAGCCTATTTCAGATTTGCTTGTTCATTTATATTGTTTTTTAGACTCCACATGTAAGTGAAATCATATGGTATTTGTCTTTCTATGTCTGCCTTCTTTTCTTATCATAATACCCTCTAGGCCTATCCATGCTATCACAGATGG